AAGATTAAAGCTGCCCAGAATAGTCAGTAGCTCACACTTGTAAGATTAGCTACCTGAGAGGCTAAGATTGGGAGAATTTTGATTCAAGGCCAGCCACAGAAACACTTCTCAAGATCCCATCTCCAAAATAACCACAGCAAAATGCACTGGAGGTGTGGCTCAAGTGGTAGAGCACCTGCTTTGCAAGTGCAAAGCTCTGAGTTCAAACCCCAGTAACACTCCCCTTCTAAAAAAAACCCTACCCAAATTGACAAGGGTATAAACCAACTCTGAAGGAACCTGCTGGAATACAAAACCTTATACTAATGTAAACATGTACTTGTCATACAAACAAATTCTATGAACTTATCCAAAGAAATGACAACACAGCCATGCTGAAACTTGTCTATAAACAATTTATACAGTTGATCTCCGTTATCCACAGGGATACCTTCCAAAGTCCCCAGCCTGAAATCAGGGATAAGTTTAATCAACAAATGAGGCAGAGTAAGAGATTAACAGTAGCTAATAACATAGCAATTACAACACACTGTGGTAAAAGTTATGTGAATGTGGTCTGTCTCTCTCAAAACTCTTACTGTACTGTAGGAAATAAAGCCTACATGCTAAGATGAACTGACCAGACACTAGGATGTAGTATTACACTACTACTTCGGGTACTTGAGCGCAAGCACTGCGGATACTAGGACAACAGATCTGGGAACTGAGATGTCCTATGTGACTAATGAGCAGGTCGGCACAGGGAACATGAATATACTGGACAAAGGCGTGATTCCTACTCTAGGCACGATGAGCCGAGATCTCATCTTGCTACTCAGAACAGCACTTAATTTAAAACTTATGAATTATTTCTGGGATTTTCCATAAATATTTTCAGATTAAGTTTGCCTGCAGGTAACTAAAACCGTGCAATATGAAACTTTAGGTAAGAGGGAACTGTACTAATTTCCATCAAGAGGCAAATGAACAAATTTTATATAGAGAATTGATAAAATATAGGTCAACCTTAAGTACTATTAATCCGTTGCCATTAATCTTACATTCATAAGATGATTTACAGGATTTTCACCAAGAACCAAAAGAACTAAGCCACAAAATAGTAACATAGGGCTGGCAGAGCAGCTCAAGTGGTAGAGTGCCTGCCTAGCAAGTATAAGGCTCTGAATTCAACTTCCAGTAACCAACCCCCTCCCCAAAACACACACACACACACACACACACACACACACACACACACGTAACATATATATTGTAAATTGCCAGTTAATAAAGAATTTTTAGGCAGTGAGAGAGCTCTTAATTTTCTAAAGAATTACTTTATGGTCAATTGTATTTTGGAATATAATACAGCTTGAATTAAAGAAAAACTGGGGCTTAATAGTATACTCTAGAAGTTGAAACTATGTCAGACTAGGTAAAACCAGGCTTTCTGGAGAGAGAGGCCTAAAAAATCTCCAGTTTTAACAAGCACCGCAGGTAGTTCTGAGAGTTAAGTTTGAAAGCCCTCATCTGAATGTAAAAAGAAAGAATATAACTCACTTTGGCATCAACAGCCTATTTCGGGTGGGGGTGTAGCTCAGTGGAAGAGTACTTGTGTAGCAAGTTGGATTGACCCCTAGTACTACAACCAACCAACCTGTTTTGTTTGGCTTATAGTATGTATAAGTTATACGCAAATATTTTTAAACTACTCATCAATGCCTAAAATTTACCCAAAAAATCAAGGCTTCGCACTTCCCATAAAAAAAAAAAAAAAGCCTTCAATACCTGGAAATCTCACCTGATGGTCTCTTGGGAGTAAGCAGACACAGTCTTGGAGAAGTATATTTTGAGATATAATTCATTAGTTTTTTTCTTTCTTATTATAAAAACAAAGACATTATCTTCTGATTTAAATGCTTTCCTAGAACTCTTGATAATATGGCATGGAGATTTTAAAATATTGAAGATGGCAATCTCCAAACTTGTCTCAAAATTGAGGATCAGAGCCTTTTATTATTCATTCAAGTCCCAGGTGCCCAAGTCAGGCACATAAGTCTTACTTCTAAAATTATATAAAACTCAGATCTTAGTTGGCCACTAGTCTGTTTAATCACTTAAAACAGAAACAGCCCTGTGTTTGGGGAACCAATGAACTCAACCAACTGTGAATAGAAGTATTAAAGAGAAAAAAATTGTGTCTGTACTGAGCATGTAGACTTTTTTCATTGCTATTATTCCCTAAACAATATATTGTAATAACTACTACATAGCATTTACATTACAAGTAAGCTAGAGATGATTTAGTATACGTGAGGTTGTGCATAGGGTATATACAAATACCAAGTCATTTTATATAAGGGACTTGAGCATCCCCAGATTTTAGTATGGAACCAAACCCTCACAGACACCAAGAGGGACATCTGTAAAAGAAACCTTAAAATGTGTCTAAGAATTAAGAGTGGAGCTGGGGTGGCTGGTAATGTCTCAATGGTAGCACGTTCTTAGCTTATGCAAGGCCATAACTTTAATCCCCAACATCTCTAATCAATCATCAATCAATCACTCTCTCTCTCTCTCTCTCTCTCTCTCTAGCTCTCTCTCACTCACTCACACACACACACACACACACACACACACGCACGCTCGCGCGCAAAACACTAATATAAAAAAGACTTAAGTTTTACCTGTACAAACTAGGGTACTTCAAACTAGTATAAAGGATCTAAGATTTTGCCCTATTTGCAAAGTAACAAAGTAACCTACCAGTGCCAACTGATGTTAAAGTTCTGAGATTTTGCCTTACTAGCAGGGTAATAAAGTAGACTGCCAGATCTGAGATCTCCCTCTATTTGTACAAGTTTCATGGATGGTCACAGAAAGCAAAAGATTCAAGAGTCAGAGACAACGAACAGTTTTAGTACTTACAACCATAGCACAGGCCAAAGTGTCAACATTTTTCCACTGGTTTCCAGAGCCCCAGTTTCCACTGGGCAATGTAAGCATGGGCAGTGAGCTGTGTTACAGGAGAGGAACCCTATATTTAGGGAATCTTAATCTTTTATTATGGGCAATGGCATACCTGCCCTTTGGCTCCAGAGGGAGACAGTATCTTTTTACTATACTAGACAGTATGCATGCCTGCCCCTTTCTACAGTGGAAGACACTACCTCTTTCTTCCAAGGCTGTACCTTATATAACATCACTGAAAAAAGAAACATAGTAGTCGGCACCTTACTGGCAAGAGTGCAGAAGTGGAAAGACCCGGGAAAATTTGTCTCTAGTAAAGTCTGACCCTGAGTTACAGTGAAATAAGTGGGTCTAAGACTGAGGCAGGCTCCATGAGGGACCATGAGGCAAGGCAAAATCAGGAGTTAGGAACTGAGAATAAAACACTCTATTAAATGAGTAACTTGATTAGGAGCACACATGTGTTCTTCTTTTAGTCCATGCTCCTCCACCTTGCTTAGATGATTAAGATGCCCCCGGAACCCACAATCATATCTTAAAGAAAAACACTTATCTTGAGAGAAACTTTTGATTAAATGATTCCTTTGATCATAGGATTGCTTATAAAAGGAGAAACAGACATCTATATCCCAAAGACCCATATTTAGTGAAATGGACCAGACCTAATGTCTCCTGTCAAGCTGATATCAAACACTGTAGCAACAAGAATGCAAGAATGATTGAAATGTACCAGGTGCCCAGAATAAAGAAACACTTATCTAAAAGAATGTTTACGTTAAACCATTGCGCCTTATTTTATTTAGCATCCCTGCTTTAAAATGATTAATTGCATCTTTATAATTATTTATTTATTTAATTGGAGTACTAGAAATTAAACTCAGGGTCTTGAGAAAGCACTCTACCACTTGAGCGATGCCCCACAGCCCTTTTGTTTTTGAGATAAGGTCTAACTTTGCTCAGGCTGGCCTGGAACCTGGATCTCCCTGCGTCATCCTTGCCTCATGAGTAGCTGGGATTGCAGGTGTGCACCATAACTGGCTCACTGTCTCTTTAATATATCAGCACTTTGGCTATGAACTGTATTCTCTTTCTGCTTTGCTTGCTAAATATTCTGCTAGTCTCTTACCTGTCTGCATCAGAGACAAGGACCTAAGGGCCAGGTAGAGGCTCCTTCCCTTTAAGGGACCTTCTTGGACTCTCCATGACCCCAGCACATAGGGCCACATTCTATTTAAACCTTCAAGTTCATACACCCCTTGACCTAGTGTAATTATTTAATTAGCACATTATCTTTAAAAACTATTCCCTTTTTTAAAAAAAATGTTAAAAATGATTTTCCGCCGATTGTGGTGGCACACACCTGTAATCCCAACACACGGAAGGGAGGTGGTGGCAGGTAGATGGAGTTAAAGGCCACCCTGGGCTACCCAGCAAGACCCTTTCTCAAAAACAAACAAACAAACAAAAAAAAACGATTTCCCTTTCCCAGTTTCTTTGTATTTTTTAAAGGACATGGTCAAATATTTGCCATATTAAAACTTAACACCTCAAGTATTCTACTACAAACACATACTGTACTTCAACTTACTTTAAATGCTTCAAACCTGTTAGCGTTCGCAATGGGAACTACCTGTCAAAAAGTCTCATCCAGCAACAAACATCACAAAAAAGAACAGTCACTTCCAACCACTACCTACGAATACAAGAAAACACCGCACCCCCCCAATTCGTTTTGATCTACTTCTTCTTACCCTTTTACCATCTCACTCCAAATAAAACCTTCGAGAAAGAAGCAGACAAAACACCGTTTCCAGCTAGGTTCCTTTGTCCCCAGCAGAGGGGAAGAGAGGATTGGGAACTCATTAAAGGTAAGGAACCCAAAACATGCAAGACAGGAAACACACAGCATCCAGTCCGCAATCAATCATCAAAGAAAGTCACCATCCCTCCTTTCCCCGCCCCCCCAGCTCAAATACCGTGAGTATATACGCGCTGATTAGGATCATGCGGACCTGGACAAAGCTTTGGCGGAGGCAGCGGGTAGCAGCGAACTAGACGCACCGGGCAGAGAACCCGGGACACAGGCAGGCTACACAGCAGCAGGCTCCGGCGGGGCTCCGCCAAAGTGCGGGTCGCCGGACGGGAAGAGCGAGCCAGCGGAGGCAGCAGGGCGGCCAAGTCCCCAGCTCGCGGGGAAGTCGCTCTGCGAGCCGGCCGCAGAGCGCGCGGGCCCTCCATGTCACCGCCGCCAACACAGACCCTCCTCCCCGCCCGCCCTCCCCCGCCGCGCACCCCGGCGGCGGCGGCGACATGACAGCGGGTCGCGCTGCGCAAGGGCGCCCGCCACCTCCCGGTCCTCGCCTCCCCACTCTACGCCACCCCACCCCCGGGCTCCCCGACGCCCGCGGCCGGCTCCTCACCTTGGGTGGCGAACGGGGGGTTGCCGCTGACCGGCGAGCCGGGGGCGGGGATGGGCGGCGGGGTCTCGGCCGAGCCCAGCATGGGCGCCGGCAGCATGAGGTAGCGCTGGGGCGCGGGCAGGCAGCGCTGGCAGAAGGAGTGCAGGCAGGGCAGCAGCTTGGGCGCCCGGCTCTGGATGTTCTGGTGACACACGGCGCAAGTGTCCAACAGGTTGAGCCGGGCCGCCTCGCCGCCGCGCTCCGAGTCCGGGCCCTGCCGACTCTCGGCCTCGTTCTCCCCGCTTGGAGCCGCCGAGGGCCCCCCGGCGGCCGCAGCCGGAGCCGCGGCCGCTGCTGCCTTCTCCACAGCCACCTCCATTGTCCTGCCCCGCCGCCGCCGCCGCCGCCGCCGCCGCCGCCGGGGAAGGGGGAGCGCGGTCCCCGCCCGCCGCCCCCGACGACCTCCTCCTCTTCCTCCTCCTTCTCCTCCGAGGCCTCTCTGTGGACCCGCGGAAAGCGAGCGAGGGAGAGCCGGGAGAAGGCTTCCTCCTCAGGCCCCGGGGATCCGCCTCCCGGGGGGCGCAGCCGGAAGAAGGGGAATCTGTCAGCGGGGACCGTTCTCCGCACCGCGGAAGGCTGCGCCCGGGCCGCCTCGCCAACCGCCCCGGCGCTCGTCGAATCCGCCCAGCCCGCCCGCGCCTCGCAGCCTTTCTCTCGGCCCCCGGCCCGCCGCGAGCCCCGCCCCCACCTCCCTCTCCCAGCAACCGAGGAGCGCGCCGCCCAATAGCCGTCGTTCCTGCCCAGGGGGTGGGGCCTGTCGAAGCCCGCGAGGCTCCGACGGCCCGGCGGGAGGCTGGGAATGGGCAGGGCCGGACTGGGCACACCCACTCCGGATGCCGAGAACCGCGGCCTCTGATTGGGTCTCTCTGTGCGTTTCGCTCCTCCGAAGAGATTAAGGGTTCATTTGTTAACGACCAGGCACCTAATTCGGCCCGCCTGTGTCAGCTCCTCCCACAGGGCGGGGCTCCACCTTGCCTACTCTACCTCGTTAATTAAGTAACTGCTTTGAAAACTCTGGCCGTACTACTGGGGACCGGATCTTGTAGGAGGAGTATTAATATGGTGGGAGCGTCAACGGAGGACCGAGTGGAGGTGGTGAAGCGCAAATAAAGAATTTTAAAACACACTATGCCAAAGAGATGTTCTGGAGGCAGCACAGATATTCGAAGCCTGAATTTATTCATCGCTCCATGATGAATGAATGAGTACGAAGAATAAGGAGGGAAGGTTCTTGTGCAAGTGGGAAATTTTTAAAGGATTTCCCCTATGGAAAAAGGTGAACATAATTTTTGTAGTCAGTATTTTGCTTTTTGTTTTGGTGGGACTGGGGTTTGAACTCAGGGTTTACACACTTGGCAAAGCAGGCACTCTACCAGTTGAGCCACACCTCCAGCCCAGTATTTTGCTTTTTAAGTGAATAAGAGCAGTTCATTTTCCAGGGAATTAACATATAAAGATTTGCTGATGTCTATATTGCTAATATACATTAAGAGAAAAATAAATTGCAAAACTGATAGCCAAACAATTCGTAACCTCAGTGTTGCTTTTATTTCCCTCCTTTTCCCCTCCACACGGAAAACAGGAATAACAAATTTTCAACCAAAACCTGGGCAAGTTTGCGAGGAGCTTGAAGAATAAAAACGGAGTGATGGAAACAAGCCTTTGTAATCAAATGACTAAAAAAATATATATGCCATTTTTTAAAGCACAGGTGGAGTGGTACAGGACCTTAGATCAGAGGAAGATGGTTGTTAGCCTATTCCTGCCATCTTAGATGCCTTGCTGTGTCCCAAGCCCAGGTGCGGGATATGCTACCTTCACCAATGACACACTTATTGAAGCTAATACCTTCCCTCCCAACAGGCAGAACTGATTGCTTTGACCAGGCCCTAACACTGGCTAACGGAAAAGAGATCAATATCCACTCTGACTGTCCATGCGCCTGTAGTAGCTCACATTTGCAGGCTTTCCTCTGGCAGTTAACGGGATTCTTAATTGTCAGAGGCACCCCTATTGTTAATGGAAAACTTATCCACAAATGACTAGAGGCAGTTAAACTACCTTTAAGGGTCACTATCATCCACTGCCAGGACAACAGAGGACCTCAGACCACCATAGCTATAGGAAACTCTAGGGCAGATTCTGCCACTAAGGCAGTGGCCCTTAAACCTGTCTCTATCCTCCCTTTATTTTGGGTTATACAACCTCTGTACACCCAGGAGGAACTGGAAACCCTAACAACAGCAAGAGCTGTCTGTAAGCATAGCTCTTCCTTGAAATACACCATTCTCCCCAGATCCCAGGAAAACCCATCTTGACCTAGCTGTATGATCTTTTGCATGTGGACTACAACCCCCCTCCTTCCTTCATTTGTTACAGACTCATTTATCCTTCCCCTCCATGGTCATTGCCCTAAAATACCTCACTCAAACATGTTCCATCTGTAATCAGGTCATTCAGACCATCCTCCGCTCCCCACACACCAGGCATGGAAACATCTTCCAGGACAGGATTGACAAATTGACTTCACAGATATGCCCCAGGTCAGGAGACGCAAGTACATTTTAACCTTTAGTTGACACCTTTACGGAATGGATGGAGGCCTTTCCCCAACCAATGAAAAGACATAGAATATGACTTCAGCCCTCCTAACACATATTAGTCCATACAATTAGACAATGGCCCAGCTTTCATCTCATAGGTTACCCACTTAATCTCCAAACCCAAATGGGTTTTTCACATTCCATACTGTCCCCAGTTCTAAGGCAAGATGAAATGAGCCAATGCCTTACTAAAACCACGTTTCACCAAACTCCCTGGAAATGAAATTAGCCTGGCTCCCACTTTTATTCCTTGCCCTCATAAGATTGGGTATCCTCCCCAGACAACCTCTACATCTACGCCCATGTTAATTTACGTATGGGTAACCCTTCACCAACTCCAAAACTGTCCCCACAGATGACTCCTCCTAAACAGACACAGATATGTGGCCTGCCTTACATCTCAGCAGACATCTCCTGAGGGACTATGCAGACACTTCCCAAACCACAAGAGACATATGACCCCCTATTCCTCCACCCTGGAGAATGGGTGTGGGTAACTGACTCTACCTCCCCCTAATCCAAATGGAAGGGACCCCTCTAGGTAATCCTTGGTTAAAGTAAAGTACTGTCTAACTGGATATATCACTCCAGACTAAAAAAGGCAGCTATGCCCCAGTCCACCTCAATCCTTGATCCCACACCCCCCGACATCTCCTAAATCACCTCCTAAATATTTGTTGTTTCCCACAGGACTCACATTTCTTGCACTAACCAGGATCCCCAAACCTCTCTCAAAATCAGAGGTTGATATTCCATGACCCATTCATTCCCTAACTTTCAGGAAGTTCTCTCCCACTTAGTCCAGGATGTCATCTGGTATGCTCTCCCAGAACCCCTGGCAGAGGATTTAGGATTAGTAGCCCATCTCCAAACCTTCATGGAAGAACTATGGCTACAGGGCACCTCCAAGACTTCACACTAACTTCAGTCTTTTCTTAACACTGACTTAAGTCTTTTCCCATACACTGCTCTTTCTTCCTACTCCTCCTCCCATTCCCTTGACATACACGTACCCTGCCTCCCGCACTAGCTGGGGTCCTCTCATCAATCAAACCCACTCTCTCCTATAGCAGACAAACTCTTCACTCTCCTCAGATAGTTGGAGCTATATCCTGACTCAGACCCAACAATTTACCACAATCCTGGTAGAGCTCTCTGACTGGGCTACCTAAGCCATGGACTTACACCTTCCGTACTCAACTGAACCTTACTCAGACCCCTCCTATAACCTCTACACCTCAATTCCTTTCCCCCACATACTTCAAATTGAGCCTTACAACCTCAAGGATCACTGTCACTTACCTAAGGGCCATGACCCAGGGACTCAAAACCCTATCCACCAACCAAGACCCAACCCACAGACCACCCATTTGGGGACCCATTTCCACCTAGATCAGACTGTCTCCCAAAACACTCCACGTCTCACTCTCAATAGCTTCTATCCCAACCTCTGCAATTATTCTCTTACTCTCCTTCCCACCAGAAACCACCAAAACAGACATATCTCCATCAGAATAGGTTCCATAAATATATTTTCTAACCCCCTGAGGTTCTCCCATCCACCCCCCTGCCCAAGTATCTCAACAACTAACCCCACCTCCTCCTCATGTAGATGCAAACTGGGCTGTACCTAACTGGAGAGGGTCACCTGGAGGATCTGCTCTGAATCTCCCACTTGTCTCATAGTCCCCCTCTTTAACTCCTCCACGATGGTCAACATGGAGCTATATCATACTCAGCTCTCGCTAATGCCAGAAAAGTAGGCTACACCCTTGGCAATGTACCAGTGCCTCATGGGGGCTCCCCTTTTGGGGACCTACATGATTTGGGAAAATGAAAAGACTCTGGATAGGGTGCCAGTGGCTCATGCTGTAATCCTTGCTTGTCAGGAGGCAGAGATCAGGAGGATCATGGTTCAAAGCCAGCCCTGTCTCTAGACCCTATCTTGAAAAAACCAGTCACAAAACAGGCCTGGCAGTGTGATTCTAGTGGTAAGAGTGCCTGCCTAGGAAGCGTGAAGCCTTAAGTTCAAACCCCAGTGCTGCCAAAAAAAAAAAAAAAAAGACTCTCCAGGAGGTCTTTGTGGAAGACCCTTCTCCACGTCTTTCTTTCTTTCTTGGCATGCAACCTTAGCCTACAACTTCTGCCTCTCCAGCCTGGGCACTTTCTTTCTCTGCAACACTTCCTCCTTTCTCTGTCTGCCCACCTACTGGTCAGCGACCTACACACTTGTCTATCAAATTCCAAACAAGCAGAAACTTTCCAATTAGAAACTATCCAAGTGCCTATTTTAGCCTCCATCCCTTCCTCTGCAACCTGTCCCAAACCGGCATATGATACATCTTATTCCCTTACTGTACAGACTGGGCATTTCAGCAGCCCCTGGAGCTAGAGTAGCAGGAATAACCTCTACCCTATGCTACTCTCAAAAGCCCTGAAAGACACTCTTGAAGAGACGGCTAACACTGTTGCAACTTTACAAAATCAAATCGACTCTTGCCCCCGTTGTTCTCTGAAATAGATGAGCCCTGGACCACCTCATCACAGAAGAAGGGGGAACCTGTCTGTTCCTACAGGAAGAGTGTTGCTTCTATGTCAATTAATTGTTCCTGATGCAGCAAAAAAAAAAATCTTTGCAACCACTTCTGCTACTCTACAGCAACAGGCCACTGACCCATGGGGGCAATGGTCTCTATTTATAAAATGTATGCCATGGATAGCCCCTTTATTAGGACGCTTGGTTCTCCTTCTCATGCTGATAAGCATTAGCCCATGTGTATTTAACTGCATTTCTTGCTTTGTCTTCCAAGGACTAAATTCCTTTATACAGGTTACCACTCAATACCATGTCTACAATGTACCCATGTTCCCATAGGTCAGGTACCAAAGACTAAGAAGCCTTCAGGACCCCACTCAGCAGGAATCAGCCAAAGAACAGCCAACACTCCTGACCCCCACCATCATCCCTGCCTTGCCCCTCTTTTAAATTAACAAGAGACAGGAAAGTTAGCATTATTCCTGTCATCTTAGATGTCTCCACCATGTCACAAGCCCAGAATGAAAAGGAAAGCCCAGGGCTCCCCTGTTTGGCAAGAACATGACTTAACTGAAGAACCGATATCCTAGCAGTGGCAAAAGGCAGGAATTTCCCTCACCCGAAGTAGCACGTAGGCACTCCCGTAACCTGAACTGTAACTGTCCCAGTGTGTGAGCAGATCAGGGTCTCTGGCTTTGGCTGGTAGCACCCTCCATTGTTTTTTTCCCAAATAAACCTATGTGGCTGTTGATCATCCATGCAATCAAGCCTAAGAGGGGTCATGAAAAGCTTTGCTAAAACTAAGATGATTCTGAAAGCACAATCAGATGGCAACAGCAGAGGGCAAACACAAGGCAGCCTCTTTCACCACCTTTCCTTTTCTCTCCTACCCACCACTTTCCCAAGCAAGTCATTAAATGCAATCTCCATAGACTTGGAATATGAGGTTCTGTTACATGATGACACTCTGGCTGTTTGTTTTGGATAGCACAGTCCACCCTTTGTGTCTATGGCTTGTGCATTCTCGGTTTCAACCATCCTTGGACCAAAAGTATTCAGAAAAAAATGTAAAATGTGCCTGCACTGACCATTTGTGAACTTTTTCTTTCGCTCATTGCTCCCTAAACAATACAGTCTAACAACTCTAAAGCATTTACATTGTATTATTTATAAGTAATCTAGAGATCATTTAAAGTATACAAGAGAATTTTCATAGCTTACATGCAACCACTGAGCCTTTTTATGTAAGAGACTTGAGCACCCATGAATTTTTTGTATATGTGGGCATCCTGGAACAAATGCCCTTTGCTACCCAGGGAAAACAAGAATCATCTGAGAAGCTTACTTAAATTAAGGAGGTTTCTTGACTCCATCTCCATATTCAATTTTAACAGCATCTCAGGTGATGCCAATATGTAAATGGGCCAGGATCACCCTTAGAGAAACAAAAGTCTACCTCAAAACACCTTTACCTCCCTGTAATTCTCTCCCTGATTGCATCTGTGTATGCTTCTCAAGCCAAAGGTGCCATTACTCTTTATGCTCCAGCAACTTTAATGCCACCCTACTTTGCATGTGCTATTCCCTTTTCTTTGCACTTTCTTCAGAATTTGGGCTTACCTGTGATCTTAAACCACCCCAAAGTTCATCACTCCTTCCCCAATGCTCTATTTCCCCTCGACTTTTAGAGCTGCACCTTGACACTCTTCATGTATTGGGAAGGCAAATTTTGTATTCTGAATTAATTTCTATATTACATAAGTGATACACAGAATTGTAAAACCAAGTTTTTCTTATTTTCCAGGTGGAAAAGGAAAAAATAAGAGGTAAAATTGAGGAGGCTTTTTTTTTGAGAGAATTCCACACAATTTGATACTACAGTTCTCCAAGGTCACAGAGTCTCAGTATTACAGAAATCATCTTCCATATTTTTGGCCTTCTGTTATAGTTTAAATACGAACTGTTCCCAACAGGCTCAGATTTTGAAGGCTTGGTCCCCACCTGGTTGCACTATTTTGGGAGATGTTGAAAACTTTAGGAGATAAGGCCTAGTTGGAGGGAGCAGGTCACAGAGGGGGTGCCCTGGACAGATATTCTATGTCCTCAGCCCTTGTTGTCACTCTGCTCCCTAGCTGCCATGAGTGAACAACTTTGCTCTGACATACCCTTCTGCTATGAGGCTCAGCCTCACCATGACCCAGAAACAATGAAGCCAGCCGACCAGGGAATGAAACCTCTGCAACCCTGAACCAAAATAAATCTTTTCCTCCTTTTAATCATTTCTCTCAGGTCTTTGTCACATTGATGAAAAGTCTAGCTACCACACCTTCTAAATGTCACATAATTTAAACAATCATATATTTTACTTTGTTCAAATATTTATGGCTTCTATTTTTTTAAGTATGGAAAACTAATTTATTGTTTTGGTTTCTTTTTTCTAAATCATGTGATTTATTTATTTGGATATTGCTGTCCTTCTAAGTACGTTGCGATGTATTTAGCAAAGATTCATACTGGCTAGCCATGGTGGTTCATGCCTGTAATCCCAGCATTTGCAAAGCTGCGGCAGGAAGATTGTGAGTTCAAGGTCAGTCTGGACTACGTATCAAGCTCTTCTCTCTTTCTCAAAAAAAAAAAAAAAAAA